CCTCCCTCCCCTCAGGGAGAGGGGCCTGCGGAGGTTCGTCCTGCCTCGGCGCCGCCCGGGGGAAGAGGTGGTTGTCGGCCGCTGCCCTCCGGCCCTCACACCCATCTCCAGTCCTCTGGGAAACCGAACCTGCTGTCGCCTACTCTTTAGCTAGCTAGTCGGTTACACTGTAACTTTGTACAGTTTGTGTGATAGTTACTCCGGTTCCAGTTCCTCTCTGTAAAACGATCTGTGGGAATGCGAGGGATCTCTGCGGCAGGGCTTTGCCAGCTGCTCCCGCCCCAGCTCGGCTCCCTGAGCAGAGCGGTTCCTTACAGCCGGCGTGCAGCAAACAGAGAAAGCTCGGTCCCCTTGAAGAGTATTGCACCCCTATGACCTCACTGTGCTGTTATATCCCCGGCAGAATGTTTCTTGATTGCTTCCATGGCCACAGAGGATGTGGTCAGTGACAGGCAACATCCTGCAAAGGCACATCTGCCCGGCTCAGAAATACCGAACACCGCATACACTTTGCTCCGCTGTATAAGGAGGAGCTCAGTGACATCTGCCGTCACTGTTCGGGGTCAGTACCCACGGGTAACACAGAGCATACATCTCCTGTACCTTTAATAAGTCATACATGGGCTTCTGAATAATACAAACTGACCTGCCTGCTGTAGAGATTGCTTTGTTCATCAGCCAACGCTTCAGCAAGGTGACCAGATCCTTACGGAGAAGCAAGAGCAGGGCAGCTCCCTGAGGTGGCCAAACCACAAGTGAGGGTCATCCCACTGCAAGCAGTGCCCTCAGTGACAAGGCACGGGCCCACAGGACGCACACTCAGTGGGCAGGGTGCTGGCAAGAGCGCACATCACATCAGCAGTCCCAGAGAAGCTGAGGTGATGAACCAGAACCATCCAGGAAGGTACAATGTAAGCACAGGGTCTGTCCAGGGCCAGAAACAGAGGGGCAGGCCTACCTACAAGAGAGGCCCAAGGTATAGCCAGAGCACAGAGCTGGAGACAAGTATACCTACAACATAGCTCAGTCAAAGACTTAAACTGTGCCCTACCTGATCTTAAGTGGAGGTCCTGGGCAGAATGTGTTCCCAGGTGTGGCTGTTCAGGGCAAGTAAGGTCAATACATGAGTCTGGGACCCCAACACAGTCTTACATAAATTTAAAAATGTGCGGCACGTATCCATTTCTCTCTTGACATTGTGATCACAGCAGCAAAGTTATCTATCGTGCTGGAATCCAAAGCAGTAATGTTTAATCTCCCTCCTCCATAGAAACAGTTACTGGGATGTATCGTATGGTCCCTTTCCTTCATCTTATGGAGAATAGGACAAAAGAGAGATGTATTTAATTTTCTGTCCTTTTTTTCTTATCAGAATTACTTAGGATTTACAGAGATACTAAACTGTAATTTTTGTTCTTGAAAATAGATTCTAAAACAAAAAAAATCCCTTATATTCTGCTGCAGTCAATGGAAGCAGCTGAGTAGTCAGCACCTTTGAATAAAAGCAGGTCACTTAGATGCCTAAATATAGGTTTGAAGTCAGACTTTCAGAAGAGTTCAGTACCCATTTTATCCCTTACATTATGCTTAGAACATGACATCTGAGCATTCTGCAATGCTGCACACATCAACATGACTAACATCTGCCACATACGTGTCTTTCATCATCTTTCCAGAGTAAATCCATGAAGTGAATTGTTTCAGTTTATAAATAATAAATAATAAATAGCAAACATTTTAGTAGGTTTTTTATAGGCAAGGCTGAAGAAGGAAGTTGCTTTTTTTGCTTTTTTTTTTTTTTTCAGAAGACTTTCTTGTCATCTTGGTGTAGATTCTAAAGAGCTCTTCCCTGCAAATATAAGTTCTCACTAAAGAAGGTTGTTTTATCAGAAGAACAAAGGATGTTGACCATAACAATTACAGCAGCATTAAAAAAAAACAAGGGCCTGGGCTATCTGCATGACAAGGTCTGAAGCGAAGATTTGTCCTCTTCAATTTTAAGTACCACAAACAAAGATACCACAAACAAAAACCTACTTTCCTGTAGGGATCACTGTGGGCACAGGTTTTCCACTGAATCCATGATATAAATGCAGCTGGACTCAGGGGTCACTTGAAGAGACAAAACTTGATTACACTTGCAGCCTACACTCCTCTTGGGATGCCTCTTTCATTCAACTGTAATCCTATCCCTTAAAACGAAACAGAACAGAGGCTGAGGCCCTCCAACCAGTGCCCACATTAAAAAAATTCCCAGTTCACTTCTTGCAGCCTAGACTTCCCTTTCAAAGCTCATTTAACTCACCTTCAGCTGGAGCTCCAGGGCTCTCTCTCCACCAGTTCTAGCACTAACCCTGAGGGAAAATGTGTTGTGCTGAGTCACAATGCAGGGTCCCCAGCCATTGCTCACACCAAAACATTGTCAGAGCCACATTCCTCTCACAGTCTACCCTTTCCTTTGATGTGTTCCCTTTTAAGCTCCCTCCATCTGTAGCTCTAGATTCTCTCTGTCCAAAGTCCCACCTTAACACTAACACAGATCTTTAGACCAGGACCTCCAGCCAGTACCCTCAATAAAATATTCTCCCTGCCACATTTGCTCTACCCCACATATTTATTTTTTTTTAAGACCTTTCTAGCTCCATTCCAGCTACAGCTCCAGGTCCTCTGTGTCTCTCATCTCTAACCTTAAGCCTCAAACAAACCATATGCTGGGCTTTGGATGTGGTGCCAGTGCTTACACCAGGAAGTTTTTGCTGCCAAGTTCTTCTGGCAGCCTACACTTCCCTGGGACAGTCACTTTCTAGCCCTGAGCCAGCTGCAGCTGTTCTCTCTTTCTTTCTGTTAAACATAACCTCAAAGCTCACCCTACACCTAGAAGTTATGTTGAGCCTTGGACTAGGCCTCTCTGCCATTGCTTCCACCAACAAGTTTTTGCAGGAAAGCTATCTCTGTGGCTCAACCTCTTCACTAACAGCTGTTCTCAAGCTTCCCTTCATCTGGAGCTCTAGGCTCTCTTTGGCTCCAGCACCAGCCCTAACCCTCACACAAGCTGTGTGGTGGGCTTCAGACCAGGACTGCAGAGTAACAGTCACAATAGAAAGTTCTTGCAACAGTTTTTCCTGCACCCCAGGTGTGCTAGGCCTGTTCTAACTGCCAGACTACATTCTCTTGTGTTGTCAAAAATAACCTCAGCTGCAACTCCAGCCATAAGAGCAGGCTGAGCCTCAGACCAGCCAGCCCTGCCAAGTTCCTTGAACTTAGACTACCCCTTAAAAGCCTCTCTCTAACTCTCCTCCTGCTGGAATTCTAGGCTCTCTCCCCTAGCCTTAACTCTAATCCTGATGTCAACATAATCAAATTCTGTCACCCCCCTTTTCATTTCCAAGGCAAAACAGTCTCCCAGCCAAGTTCACTTTGCAGCCCACCTCCTTTCCAACTCAACTCAGTGCAGCTCTGGGCTGTCTTTCTTTTAACCCTAATTGTAACCCTAGCCTCTATTGGATTTGCATGGCAAGGTTTTGGTAGTACAGGGGGTTATGGGGGTGACTTCTGTGCAAAGATGCCAACCCACACTGGAGCAATCTGCTCCTGAAGGATGTACATCCTGCGGAAATGGCCCGTGCTAAAGCAATTTGTGAGGAACTACAGCCTGCAGGAAGGACTCATATTGGAGAAGGTCATGGAGAACTGTCCCTGTAGGAGGGGCCCCACACTGGAGCAGGGGAGGAAGAAGGAAAATGGAGCAGCAAAGACAGTATGTGATGATCTGACCACAGGCACCCATTCCCCCAGTGCAGGGAAAAGATAGATAAAATTGTCAGTGAAGTTGAACCTGGGAAGGAGGCTCCCCCTGTCCAGTTGAGGAGGGGAGTGATAGTGTAACTTGATGGGCATCTGATATCTAGCCAAGGTCAACACATCTCAGCCATATCAATAAACCCAACCCAAGGTTAAGTCTTGGGCTACAATTTACCTTGGGCTAGGTCAAACAGAAAACTTCTGGGAGCAAAATTCTCCTTGGAGCTAACACTTCCAGTTATCCATTTGTTCACAGTCCCACTGCAGCAGAAGCTTGTGGCTCCATCTCTCAAGCCTAACTCTGATTATGATATCAGAGGCTGGGCTTCAGACATGACCCTCAGCCACTGCCCAGAGCAAGAAGTTATTGAAGCCAATTCCTCTTTGCAGCCTACCCTTCACTTTAAGAACCCTCTTACAGCCTCTTCCAACTGTCTAGCCCTTTCCTAGGCTTTCTCTTTTTCTCAGCCCTAGCCATGACCACAGGGTGAGCCTTAGACCAGGATACCCCACCAATGCCCACACCAAAACACTTTCCCTTTCAAATTCTCTCTGCACTGTTTTACTCTGAAGATCCTTTTTAAACCCATTTCAACTGAAGCAGCAGACTGTCCTTCCCTCAACCCTGATTCTAACTGTACCCTAATCCTTACTGTAAACTAAGCCTTGGGGACAGGCTCTCTACACAGAGAGAGAGCGAGCACACAGTCCAGGTCTTTTCTTTGTTCCTTTATGCCTTAGGGACAGTTTTGTGGAGGTGTGAGGGAAGTTTTATTCATACAGCCTGTCATGATGTGGAAGTTGTATTTCAGTCCATTAACAGTTTTTTGTAGCATTACAGTGTGAGTGTATGGTGCAGTCAGCATTCATGGTGCCTATACAGAAAAGGGAAATAAAAGACCTTCTGGGACAGGAAACACTTAAGAGCTAAGACTAAACCTGGTACCATGTTGCCTGTAATGCCTACAGAGAGACATCCCCATTAGGAACCTGGTTTAGTGATGGACTTGGAAACGCTAGGTTAATAGTTGGACTAGTTCTTAGAGGTGTTTTTCAACCTAAATGACTCTATAGTTCTATTTCTTGGATCACATATCTCCACAACTGCATTCATGCTGCATTGCAGGCAACACTGCTTGTTTCAGTTCACAGATAACTGGTGAACAAACTAACTTAAATGTTGTGATGATGGTCCAGACACTAACAAAAAAATGAAGGGCCAAGAGGTGACAGTCAAACCTCTTTTGAAGTTTCGATGAGTCCTTAGCTGCATCTTAGAAATCTAGTCAGGATCTGGTTCCCATGTGAAGCACTTAGGAAAACAGAGGAGATGAATTCTCTGGGCTACTGTGCATTTCAAATCCTGACTGGCAGTTCCTACTCAACTTTAAAGAAATCCACCTCTCAATATACCCAAGTGTTTGAGACTTGGAATGTCCAGTTTTTTTGATAACTGAATGTGAAGCTTTTGCACTCCACAAGGACTGAATAAGAAAGCACAATCAGGGCAAGCTCACATTGCTCAGAAACCTTATTAAAGAGGTTTGATGCCACGAGCAGACTAAGCTGGTCTTTTTGCAAGCACAGAATGTACTTTGCCTCTCATGAACTAGTTTAATATCTTTAATAGAACAGAGTGTATGTAGAAGCATCAATGGAGACCAAAAGGAAGAGCCTCTGGGCTTGTAAAATGTAACAAAGTAGGCTTGGGGCAAACTATTTATTTTGCATTGTCCAGACTGTTCCATTTTTTTCTGCCATTTGTACTAAAATTTCTGCTTTGTCCCATTTTGGTGCAAGATACTCCCAACTGGAAGCTGGTGGACAAGGGAGAAGAATGGTAAACAATGTAGCAAGGCTAATAAATGGATGGCCTTGACTGACCTCATAAATGGTTAGAATAAATTACAACAAGAGTGTGAGCTCTCAACTTCAATTTTAAGAAAGGCCTGGGATTAAGCATGATGTAGCAAGCTTGCTTCTAAAATCTATGTTGTCTTTTTGGTGCTTGCCATAGAGTTTTGTTTAACATTATTATTTAAATATAAAACTTGTTTGTTACATTATTTCAGTATGAAAAAGTATACGAATCTCTTGCTTTTTCTCTCACTGGTTACCCAGAGCATTTCTGCTGGTGAGTTTGGGTCTCCAATTTGAAGGACAGGGATATCACATGGTTTGTGGGGCTTTACCTAGCTACTGGAAGGTAATATTTCTCTTTACAATTATTTTCTGCAGCTGCAAAGAACAGAAGGCTCACAGAGTTTCCCTGGGCCAACTGCCATAGAAACTAATTTCAACTAAGGCAGACTCATAAATTGTTCCATTACTACATAAATTGGTCTGGGCACATGTCATTTCAAGCCAAGCTGGGTTACTTTAAATCTACCCTGTAGTTCTAAAATGCTGCCACTTTTTAAAAAAGAACATGTCTTAAAGACATTATGAAAATAAGTAATGTCTAAAGTCAGTTAATATTCTGCAAGAGCACAAAACCTACAAGAATGTCAATTTATTAACCATTACCATTTTTTTGGAAATACAAAAAGACCAGACCAATATTTTTAAGACAAATACTTCCTTCATTTGTAAAAATGAAAAGGAGAAATAGAAACCCAGTATCTACCAACTATTTAAAATGCAGACTCTTTAATTGCTCCACATTCAGAAGAACAAGTCTATCTGTATGGGGGAATGCTTACTGGATACATATATTTACAGGCAGAAAGCATTGCCTGCTTTCAGATGTGCCTTTAAGAGCTATAGGAATCACAGAATTTCACATTATTACATAAGATTCCAAGTGATCTACAGAACAAAATTTAAAATACAAATTCAAAATTGTTAAAATTAATTTGCAAAGATGAATGTAATAATTTCTTAAGCCAAAAGGATTCTGACATTTAATTTTAAGCACTACCATTTAAGCACTACAGTTTATTTTTGTTCCTCAACAGGAAGCACAGTACAAAACCAAAGCCCTGCAAAGAGATTATCAGCTCCAATTTGAGATCAGGCATCTAACATAAGTAATGCTTTCTTTTTTTTTATTTTTTTTTTTAAGGGTGAAAAAATAGCATCCCACTTCAGTCTAGACTTGGGAAATTAGTACAGCCAGGTGCAGCTCCTGTAGCCACAATCTTAAAAACAGTGGAAGCCAGCACAGCTGATTTTCACCTTGCTTGGCTCTCCATAAACGAGCCAACTAAGTGTCCCTACGATCAGCATCCAGCAGTAGCAGTGTCCATTTTAGTTCAAACAAAGTCAATTCTCCAAGGCAGAAAAATGCAAAACCCAACTGTCCTGCTCCCTCTGGGGCCCTCTGCTTCCCTTTTATGACTTCCTCACTTTGGCAGCACAGCTGCCAGTTCCACCTCCCAGCAAGTTTAACAAGCCACAACTGCCAGGTTTTGCAGCTTATATGGTCTTTAAGGGCTAACCTCTTCCTTTTTCTGTAGAAAAGGGTTTTAACCCTTTTTAGGTTCTCAGGGCCTATAGTTCAACCTTGTGAGTTATTTGCTTGCAGTTTTCTAGAGTAACAGATTTTCCAGTGTCCCTTTGTTGATTCAACTCCTGTTTTATCAGGTGTTATCAGCTAGGAAATTGCAGAACTGCTCCTGTACATTGTTGCTCCAGCTGGGGGGTTAGAGGGCAGTATATACAGTATATAAACCTTTTCTTTCCCCAGCAAATTCTTCAAACTTACTAGATTTCACTATTAAAATAATGATATTTTACAGAAGGCATCAAATATAATCTTAATAAGGACACTCTGTATATACATTATCTTGTTTACTCTTCAACTTGAAAGGTGTTTTGCTCAACATCAGGTAAGAAATGTAATTTTGAATAATCTATTAATTGCTCTCGTGCTGGTACAAAAGCTTCCTTTCTTTTTTTTTTTTTTTTTTTTTTTTTCCCCAAAATATGCTCTTTATCATATTGAAAAGATTTTAAGATTCCTGTATCTACTTTTAATAACCCTTAAAACATAAAAGGACACACAATTGAATAATAGATTGAGAAATGAGATGTAGTATTTAATTCTTTAATTGAACATTCTTTAATAAAAAAAAATCCTTGGTGCAGAGTTTATCTAATTTTGTAAAAAACCTGAAACACTGCAGGTTCCATTTTCCCCTAGCTGTTATATCTGTAATTTTCAAAATTTCAGAAGAATTTTCAACTCATAGCCCAGAAATACAGATTCCTTAGCATCTACCATTTTAGCATTGTGTGTGTACTGTGGTTAATCACAGGAACTATAATAGCTGCAGAGCTGTCATGGAATTACAGTTGTTCCCACCAGTTGTTCTATTTTGGACAGTTGTCCCTGGAACTGCAGGTTTTGTTTTGAGAAAAGGTTATGCTTGTGCATTCTTTCAGAGTTGCTTTAGGACTTTCTAGCATTCTTCTGCTGGAGACCTTGAAATGCTCCACTGATAACAATTAGGTTAGCCCTGGAAATTCTGAAAATCATGGAAAAGTAAGATATAGAGTTTTTGAAGCTCAATTTACAGAAACATTCTTTTGTTTTTATGCCTCCATTCAAAACTTCAGATACCAAGACCCGAGTACTGTCAACAATAACTGAACTCTGAAGCTCTCATAGACCTTGTGAAAATCACGTCTCCCACGTATCTAAACAGTATCTATACTGTATCTAAACAAAGTAACAGGTAAACATCTGCCCAACTTCTACTGAAAGAAATCCCATGGTCACAATTGCACCACCTATCAGTTTGATCCATTCCAGTTCTGAAATCTCCAAAGAAGGAAATCCTGCAGTCTTTCCAGTATTTGGCCACCACCTGCACAGAGGAAACATTTTTCAGTATATTTAATAAGAATTCTAAATGATCCAGCTTGTGGCTGTTGCTGCTTGTCCTGTCATTGGTGTCTCAGTCTGCTCTCACAGGCACATCATGCAGCTCTATAGCTGTCCTGGTGGTTCCCCACTGCACCTGCTCCAGTATGTCAATGCCTTTTTTGTCCTGGCTACCCCCAAAGAGACACCTCAGATAAAGCCTCAGAAGTACTGAATAAAGGGCAATCAATGCTTTCCAGACAAGCGGAAATTAATACAGCCTATTTAATCTGTCCCAGAAGCAAGATCCCAGGCTTTGTTTGCCCTTGAACTTCGTGAGTTTCTGTCAGATCATTCTCCGGTCTGTCCAGATTCTTTGAACCACAGCTGCTCCCTCCAATGTCATAATGCCTACAAACTTGCTGAGAGTGCACTCCATCCCACCACCCAGGTCATGAATAAAGATATTGAACAGTGTTATCCCCACTATGAATCCCTGAGGGAGGCCACTTGTACAACCAGTCACCGGTTCTGCTTCATATTGTTGATTGCAACTCTTCCAGCATGGTGGTCCAGCTGATTTTCCACCCCTGCTATCATCCACTTACAGAATCCATACCCCACTAATTTGGCTCTAAGGAGATAATGGGAAACCATATCAAAGGCCATGCTAGAATCAAAGTACCCAACATTCACTGCTCCTCCCCTCATCCCAGAGCGAGTCATCTCATCACAGAAGTCAATCAGGTTGTTCAGGTATAATTTACCCTTGATAATTCTGTGCTGGCTGTTCTCAATCACCTTCTTATCTTTCCTGTGCTTGGAAATGCTTGCAGGAGACTCAGTATGTAACATTCCCAGGGAGTGCAGCACAGCTGAGTGGCCTGTACGGCCTCAAATTCCTCTTGTCCTTCTGAAAGACAGATGTGTGTTTGCCTTCTTTCTTTCTGGCTTCTTTGTAATATATTATTATTTCAGTCAATTTAAAAAAACCTAATGGGTTCTAATATACTATTAAAGGGTTAAAATTTATCAGGTCTATCTTTTAGGGAAATTTTTTATTCTAATGTAAAAATCTTGCGATATTTAGGTTTCAGCAAATTGTGATGTGGTTCTGCTAAAGAAATTTTTATGCTAGATAACAATCTTATCTCAAATTCTTTTGATTTACATGAAAAATGCACATTTTCCAAGAAGTATTCTGTAAGAAAATGGAAACTACATGTAGTAATCTCCTTAAATCACTTTTCATTCCTAAAAAAAAAACTTCCTTGATGCCAAAATATAATTAAAATATTACTTGTTTTATAAAATGAATGCAAACAATCAACTTGGTAAATACCAGAATATAAAAGGAAAGAAAGCAAATTATGTACTTGTCCCTCTAACTACTTTGTAATTACTACATAAAGCTCAAAGAATTTCAGAGAAGAGCAAACCGATTTCTCATGAGACCAGAAGGAAGATCAGTGTACGAGCTGCTTAGGCACAAGAACAAAAGAGATTCTAGTGACATCTCCAAGAAACTGCACAAAATGCAATAGACCTGAAGAGAAAGGTGTTTGAGTGCATGGTAATGTGCGGCAAACTTGTGCTTAGACTCGTCTTTGAAAGGTCTATGCAGCTGCAAGCCACAAGGCCACCACTGCTCTATGTAAGGCCATGGTAATGGTTTTGTTCAGTTTACTAAAACTCTTTGCTCTTGTACATGTTTGAAAGCACACATGTATGAGCCCTGATCTAGACATTTGGTTTTTGCTAATGTTTTGTTGTTAGATGAGTAGTGTAACATTTAATGTAAATAGTTACCAGGTGCAAAGGTAACTGCAACTGTTTACATTAAACTATTTTACTGGCAAAGGTAGATTATTTCCCCTTGTTCGAAGAAGTTGCTACACTCTAAGAGCACCTCTTTACATGTATGTCATCTTCTACCCTCAGATACTGTAGTGCTTTGCCTGTTACGGTTTAAAAAAGTACACTTAAACAGAATCATTACAGCTCTTCTAGAGCTGAGGAGGTGCCTTTTTGCCCAAGGTTTCTTCCTTGGTAAGCTTTAGCAGTGGAGGTGGCACTTCCGGGCTATCGTGGGGATGACAAAACACTGCTCAATCTGCGTGTGGCTTGGTGTCAGTGACCAGAGTCCTGGTGTGAGATTAATTAGCAGGGATTATCAGTGCTGTTCAAGCACTGTGACCTGCACTTTGATAGTTATACAATGTCAATATATACAATCAAAGCTTTAATAGTTATACAATGTCATACAATGTCACTGAAAACTTCATGGCACTCTTCAGCAGCACATCTCCCAGGATTGTTACCAGAGCTAATCAGTTTTAGGTTCTCTCAGTTTCACTAGGGAAGCATGATAATTTCCAGAAATTCAGCTTTGGAGAAAGCCAGTGGTCCCATGAGGAAAAAGAAGCCGTTGTAGGTAGGAGCTGGGTCAGTTTGTTTGCTCCAAATTGATTATGTTACATCACTACCAATGTGTAGTAGAGGACTTGGGAAACTGGATACGGCCAGGGCTAGGACCAGCACCATTTACATTGCAGATATTGTTTTGACAAGTAAATGAAAGTAGACTAGCCCCATTTTTCATTGGGGGCAAGTTGTAAAAATTCTAAAAATATGGCCAAATAACATGAGTCTTGTTTTATTTTAAAATGACACAACATAAGCATGTGATTCATAACACTTTAAAATTGGTTATTAGTGTATTCTGTGTTGTTTTTAACTACTTTCTCTACATTTTTTTTCTTTTGATATTCAAGAATCCAGCTTGTATTTATTTTGCATGAGCAAAATCCAGCAGAGTGGGATGACAATTGACATAACACAGAGGAAGTGAGGGTATAGAATTATCTATGTGAGTTATTATAAGAAAAAAGGAATGTCTTTTCTAAGCATAGAACCTTAACCCCAGCTAGTTCCTTTTCTCACAAAAGAAAAAAAAAAAAAAAGCATAGCTCCTTTAAAATCAAAGAAGCTACGATGATTAGTACCAGGAGAGCATCTTATCTGTGATTAAAGTAGACTTGGTGATTGATTCATTGTGGGGGTGGGGGGTGTTGAGGGGAGGAGGACTGAAATCACAGGTGAACAAGTATATATGCCCAAAGCTTGCTCTCTAAAGTAAATGGGTTTAAGTGTGTGACATGGGTAGGATTGGAGGGCAGAAAATGGAAGCAGAAGAAATACCACAAACCACAGCTAATTTTGCCTTCAGCTTTCTTTTGCTATCACTGTTTTTGCACTTGGAGATGAAGCTGCAGCCACATTTCCTCTGCAAGGCAAGCAGAAAGGGTAGCTGAGAAGCTTGCAAACTGCAGAGTTATGTGCAGCATTGCAGGAGTTTTCACACTGATGAAAATGTCAGCTCTTTGATGTTAGGTACTGCACGGTACTGCAGAAATTAAGGCAGAGTTCCCGTCCTGTGTTGAAGAAGACAACAAGGAAGCAAGAGGCTTTGTTTTTGCTTTGAAGCAAAGATAAACAGAGGGTGTCTACAAATAAAATATTCACAAGTTCCAGTGTGTTTTTCAGTTCCTTGAATAACTATAGTTTGGTTTGAGCTCAAGTGTAAGATATGTTTTAAACTCCCACCCCATGAAATGAAAAGGCTCTGAGGTCTAAAGGCTGTTCTGAGTAAAGAATCAGGGTATTGGTGACACTGGACCAACATTACACTTTCTGTTTCAGACACTTATAGAACCAACATTTATTCACAGAAAAATTGTCAAAAAAAAATAAGAATCAGACCTGCTTAAATATTTGTGATGGGGCAAAAAACTTTTTCCATCCTACTCACTGTTTGCAGACCACATGGTTTCTGTTGAGGTCCTGCTGGGAACAAAAGGGGAAGAAAGAAAATCTGGGGTAGATTGTAGTCTCTTCAATTTCCAAAGCAGAGAAAACACCAGTAAATATAACAATGTAATCTGGTATTTTTGTGTCCTTTTCTGTATTATTCTGGCTGCTAAACACTGCAAAGGAGAGGCTTTAGCCATCCTTGTAAATGCCAAACAGGTCAGCTCTTTTCACTAATTGTTGGGCAGAATCTATTTTTCAAGATTATTATCTGAGTACCAAAGAATAGTGCTAAGACACCATTCAAAAAATTCCAAGAAAATATTATTTTTTGTCATTTAGTGCTTGCACAACTAGGCAGAAATATACACACAAATACATGAGTCAGAAAGACTGTTAGAGTGAAGAGCTCAAAAAAAGGGAAATGGAGGAGAGACAAGTACATAATACAATGAAGAGGGAGTGAGAAAGCAGTGGGTGTTTTCTTTCCTCTTCTGCACACTCTTTGTGATGAGAAAATTACTTTGGAAATTTAGGCATCAGATATTAAAAAAAAAAAAAAAAAAAAGTAGCAGAGAAACCATGATTGAGATTGTTCTTTTGAAACAAGAATTACCTTATAAATGAAATTAAATTGCTTCTGCTTGGACAGCAGGTGTCATGAAGTATGTCATCAAAGTGACCCACTCTGTCAGCAAGTTGTGTTTCCCCTTTTGCCCAGAGAAAATAAACAATTCATATGACTTATCATGTCATTATTGTATTAATTTTCTTTCTTATCCATTACTGGGATGTTTTCTATTAGTTACTAAGTTCCTCTTGGCTTTGTCCTCATTATGTTCGCTTGCAGAAAGCAGTATTAGCTTGAAACAAATCTCTCAAGGAGAAAGATGTATTTCTCTAAGCATTCCAATAACACTGAAATATTGTTGCTTCCAACAGTTTCTAAGGAAAAGTCGGGAAAAAAAGCCAAGTCAGACTATCTTTTGGATGAGGAACTATTTAAAAAAATATGTCCTCTTTTGTATCTTAATTTGGTTTCTATGAAGAGAACAGTATTTGCATGTCAGGGAGCAGAGTGAGTGGTACAGGGATGGTCTGTGCTGTGGTTAACCCTTACAGACTGACCCCTTGTCCCATGCATGGGAAACCTACACCGTGTTACAGGAGTGTCACAGGCACCATTCCCTGACAGTATCCCTGTCTAGCTTCAGTGTATCCCAGCTAGTACACAAAGAAATTGCATGCTAAATTCCTACCATTCTTCCAAATACCACACCACTTGTTAGGTAATAATAGCAGTAATACCAAAGTAGTAATTACGAATATAGCGATAGTAAACATTGAAAAGATAAAAATATTCTCCTATGAAATTTACAGGAGAAAGTAATTTCTCTGTATTGCAGCCCTGAGATTATTCCCAAGTGTTTCAATAACAATGCTTTAACAATTTTAGGCTACAGTCTAACAAAGTGGATAGATACATTAAATATAAAATGAATGTAGGATAGATGTGGAAATTTACAGCCATGTAAATAATGTGAGCATAAGGGATTAAAGTTGACAGCTGAACCACTTAAAAGTTTCACTTTCTAATGGTTCCACCACTGTCCTGGAGAGTTTCATAACTGATTTTCACATGAATAGAAAATTCTAAGATTTAAAATCTTATTCCTGAATACTGTCCATAAACATGCAGACATATTTTCCATGATGTCCAGGTGAAATTTTTCAAGCTTAAAAGAGGATATCAGTCTGAAAAATCAGCTGCCAATCTGGTGATTCCTTTTCTCTTTTCCTCTACTTATTTCTGACTCTGGAAGTTCAGCAGCATAAATGGTGCCCTCATTGAGTTCACCTGGTGAACTGACTGGGCCGGACCTCAGTAAAGAGTTTTGGTCACACCCAAAGTCCTTTCAGGAAGATGAGCTCTGCACTGCAGGAGGTAGTGCAGCACTGTAACAATATTTTAAGCACTTCAGTAAAGAGTCATCTCACCAAATATACACAAAGGAGGACTCTAAGGAGTAGGAAAGTGTCATTGATTACACATTTATCACCTAAGCAAAGTGCACTTGAAAAACATTGAGATAAAAACAACTACCTGAAAAAGAGCTATCCTATGGTAAAACTACTTCAAGCTGATACCTAAACTGAAGAAAATGTGAATAACAGCATCTGACAACTGGTTCTTTTGGTTTTTACTCAGGAAAATCACTCTGATTGAGGAGAATTTTACTCAAAGCATGAGATCTATTGGGTGCCTTGGGATTTACTTACATTGGTCTTGGCAAAACCATTTTTGCCTTGAAAATGAAAATTGATAGCTTAAAAGAAAGGCCCTTTTCCAAATGGAAGAAAGCCCTGGGGCCAGTATGAAATCAGATACTCCAGGATCTCAGTGCACAGCAGGTGACCACAGCATGGGAAGCTGTTGCAATGAAAAAAGAGGGAGCAAGCAGCCTTAATGTAGGAAATTAAATGAAACCATGCACCTCCCACCTCTAAGGCTAGAAATAACCAGTTTGGGCATTGTTAGCTTCCTGATAGGGAGAAATTTCCAACATTGTAGGAATTTTCAGAATGCACATTTTGCCTGCTGAGCCTTTTTCTGCTGAGAGAAACCTGAAGTTTTAGCTGACAGGACATGTAGGACTTGTTGCTATCTTAGGAAATGTTTATAATGTAACTCAATGGAAGTTACTAGTGTTATTTAGTATTTATGTACGTATTAGTTTTTAAAGATTGAATAAATTACAGTTGATTTCTTAATTAACCGATTCTCAGCAGATGGGGAAAACAGACATTGAGAGGTTAGAATAAATTGGCCATACAAGTAAATGGCAGTCAGGAACATGAATCAATCTCTTCTGGCAAACAGGGCACAAGTCTTTGCCAGTCTGTGACAATATGGGCTAATCTGGTATCCTGTGCTTGCTCACTCCTCTTTGCCTCCTGCCAAGAGGCAGTGCTTTATGCTTGCCAGGAGGCCCCTCATCCTGGCATGTAGGATGGTCTGGCCACAGCCACTGCTCTACACCAGTCCTCTTTTCCCAGTGAAGGACTTTATTGTTCATGTACACAAAATCCTCCACTGTTGACTTTTCAATACTTAAATTCAAGCTTATTTCTTCACACCATTGTCAAAACCCTAAGAGACCTGATCCAAAGTAATTAGATTTACTGATGCATTTTAATCCTCAACCATTATAGTAATTTTCTAAAAAGTCACCTTGTTTATTGGATGATTTATGTGATTCAAAGTCTTAATTTCTTGAGATCTCTGAAATTTAGCCAATCCATTACAGGTATGATGGACAACTGTTCAATATGATCATCTTAAACACTCTTTAACTTATGGCTTGGTCTGCTTTGTAAAAATCTGTGAAGTTTTCCCCTTTCAGGATGGAATCTGTTTTTCTCTCTGGATGATACACAACCTTTAAAGACCAATTAAAAAAAAAAACCTCTGATGACTTCCCTTTTTGGGGATCAGTTTTAGGTAGAGAATGCTCACTTTATTGCCACCTGGGGATGCCAACACCAACACTTACCCAACTGCTAGCAGAGATATGTTGCAAGCTCAGCCCCTTAGGCTTGATTTCTGCCAAACCAGCAGTACTACTGGGACAATGGCTGAGGTTAGAGAAGGACTTGATTTGGGGTTTCAAAGCATTGTTGTCTGGATTAAAACCTAGATCTTTGGGAACACTTTTCCCAAAGCTATTATTGGACTACTCAATTATTAAAACATTTCCATGTGAAGAGAAGCCCAGCTTCTGTGAGTGGCAAATCTGACAATTTCTTCAGATATTCAAAGCATCTCTTATAAAACCATTTGGCCATGTACTCATTCCTTTCAGGGGAGCATCTATCTGTCACTACACGTGAATTTATTTTATTCCTAGAAAACTTATTATGAAATAAAAAACATTATTCTTGGCATAATTGCAGAAGAACTTCCCTCTTGTAAATATTCACAAGTCTTCTGGATGTGGTCCTGGGTAACTGGCTTTTGGTGTCCCCGCTTGAGCAGAGGGATAGACCTGATGACCTCCAGAGGTCCCTTCTAACCTTAACAAGTATAAACATGGCACTAACTAATCTTTAGTCTTAACTTTTACTGATGCTGCAGTTCCATCACAATTTAGCATCTCTTCACCCCTCACCCCTCCCACCTTGTTCCCCCTTCCCTCCCTTGTGCTACCACTGCTACATGGCTCTGTCTGCCAAGATCCAGTTCACAAAATCAGCATTTTTTGAGCTTGTTTAAATCCTTGAACTGGTACACTATGGATCAGATGAGTACCAACACCAGCACAAGAGAGGCGAGGAGGCAGGCAGGGTAATTTATCAGGGAATCACAGCCTTAGTCATACTCTGTGGTGTGTTTTGGCCACAAAAGCCAGGAGCCACCTCATCAGCACTACACCTCTAAAACACCATTTTTAGGATTATGTTCTCTTTTAGCAAACATACTGTTTCTCAAACAGTAAACTTGGAAATTTTCTGTTTGCCACTGGACATATAGAGAGAGTCAACAATCATTTTTTGGAGATCCTTCTGTTTCTCTACAGACACTGTATTTCTCTGTGTCTCTTTTATTATACTGTGATTAAAGGTGTGGATTAATTGCTCAGCATCTGTGGAAATGAAATGGAATAACCTTAAATTTGCTTGATATCTCCCCTCCTGTGATGTGCAAAGTTCTGTTTCTTCCACTCTTTTGTCTTAGAATTTGATATTTAGACATATTTCACTGTAATTTCACTGATTTTGAGAATCACATGTAATTAAAATGTTACTATTTGGAAGTTTCAGCCTTTTGAGATTAGTGGCATCTTACAAATACCATGCATGCCATGATGATACTGCAGTTTTGGTTTCAGGGGCTAGAGTGGCACACTGGCTCTGTATCCCATTTCTATACTTTGAAACATTGCTGCTTTTTTTGCAATTTCACAGGCTTGGATGCATCCTTCCCTTGCAAATGGCCAAATTTGGACACCTCATTCTCCAAATATTGCTATTAA